ACACTCTGTTTCGCGTCTGAAGTGAAATTTCTGGAAAAGAAGAAAAAGAAGAAAACTCGTAAATTGGTGTGAACCATTTTGGTGATTGAAGCGTTCAACAAGAGTCCTAAATTCGCGCTTCTGAATCAAGTTACACAAGACAACACAGGAATAAGACTCTCTTTATATTCGCCGATCAGTCGACACAGACGTTCGCTTATCGATAGAACACGAATGAACGCGTAACGTCTTTTGTAAGCATGCGACCAACGACGCGCTCTCGATGTGTTTCTCTAGTGGCTTCATTGACGGCACGGATCGCAAACATTCGCACGCTTCGAGGCTCGTGCACTTACGTTCTTGCCCGGTGATAACGGTCTGCGTGCTGACACAGGCGATAAACGCTCGCGATAGCTACACCCACGATACTGCACGAAGTGCTTTTTAACATCAGCCCGGTGACATCATTAATTATTGTTTCCCTTCCCGGTATTCCATCGCGTACCAAGGAAAGTCACTGGAGAACTGTGAGAGACCCTGGCCAACCGTCAGGTTTCGATCGACAGAAAATCTGGCGAAAGATCAGTTGCGTAGTTTGATTAGGGCGTAAAGTATCGTGTCGCTTCTCGGAACGTTCGATTTGACGCAGCAACGATTTTATCCGTTGTCGACAACGTCACTATACAATGATCGACGACGTTTTGATATGTTGAATTTCCTATTTCGTCGTCGAACATCCGGATAACAGATGGATTTAACCACTTGCGCTGGCAACCGATTGCGGACCATAACGAGTGACCAAACCGTGAGAATATTTGGCCCAAAAGTTGCAATATTTTCTTGCAGTATTTTAAGTACATCGAAATATAACCCAGGCAAAATAAATAATAAATCTATTACTTCTTAGTAATTTCTATCCAGTAATATATCGATGGAAAGAGGACGAGTTATGGTCCGTGAACCAGTTACTTATTGTTAGCGCAAGAGGTTAAGTCTCGTTCGGTGAGATAGGTCAGTATATTTTTCTGATGGTAGATACTAACTATCGTGTAATGGAAGAAACATTTATAATACGTGAACATTTATAATATTTCCTCGATAGCAAAATAACGCGTATTGTTAAAGAAATGTGTTTAATTTTGAAAATACTTTAATTTCAACCCTTCCTTTTGAGGGATGAATCATTTCACGTTCTAAAGGATCGTATAATTTTGTCCTCCGCGTGCAATCGACTTTGAATGATTGAGTCTCTAACTTGATTATAGTCTGTTAATACTTATTTTAAAAAATCACGAAGGGAAAGCACAAATAATCGTACATTTTAACATTTAAGGCTTTGGAAAATTTAGAAATGTTTCTAATGATTGTTTTTCCTTGTACTCTAACTCGTCTCATTTTTCTTCGAAGTCGAATAAAGCTTTTAAACAATTGTTAACTCGTTAATGGCAATAATAAATTATCAATCGATTGGTTTTTGTACTGGGAGAGATGAATTTGCTGCATTTAATGCCGAAAATATTCATAACAAAATTATCGGAGCCCCGTGAACGAACGTCAACGAATACGCAAAAACGTTCACGTAATTTTCTGATATGATATTTAAATTTAAAGAAACTGTCACGAAACTAGCTCGCGATATCCTCCATCCTATCTGAACAATTTTCAACGTATAAATTATTCTCAAGGAAAAAATAAAAAGCGAGAAAATCAAGATTCTCGTACCTTACGATATTAAAAAAGATTACCAATTAACACGTTCGTTTTCTTTTCAAACTAATTGGCACATTTAGGGAGCGAGACGCTTCAATGAAATCGCACTTTCAATCAAATCCCCGGGGGCCAGTTTTTAATAATCATTCTGTCGTCCATTTCCGCGTCCATTTCTTCTCGTTAAGTTCCGAAAACATTTTCAAATGCTAATTGCGATGCTTTCACCCCTGTAACCACCGATCCGATCGCCTTAAATTATTCTCGTTGACACGGAACCTTTCTCGTCCGCAGACACCTCGTCGCATGCATAATGCAACGAGCGAAAATGATTTCGGAAAGCAAATGTACGGATATTTACACTGATTGCCTCTTTTTTTCTTTCTTCTTCAGACGTGTCGTTATAACTGGACTCTCCGGAATACGTACTGCCCGCTCTGGACAAAGGGGGAACATTTGAAGAAGAGAAGGTCTTTCGACCTGTATCTTTCAGTTCTTTTTACTACTGCCGCACCTGTTTGTTTGTATTTTCAATTTATACTTTAATTAACCAGCCTCCTCTTAATGAACTGTCCTCGAATCAAGTACGGTTATAATACATACGATAAATACTCTTCACTCTGTATCTTACACGAATGCTAACTAAAGTCGAAATTTATATTCCGGTCTGGTCGACGAGATACATTCACCGTGTAAATAATTTCCTATGATCAAAAACTAATTTTTATTACAGTAACGTGCTTATTTCCACAACTTCTGTTTATCGAACCTCTTTCGCTCGACGAAACGAAACGAAATTCTCGCGAAGCAAAGATCGACTGTATTTATCACATCGAAATTTCAATACACCTAATTACGAAAGCTATTTAAAAAAGGAGATCAAAAATCTACCAATGTTTGATTAAAAAAATCACTGACAAGTCGAGAAGAACTCACATTTATACACATAAGCCTCTGGGGCACAAGTTGTCGAGTCGCGAGCAAACTTTACCTTCTCTCCAGCGGTCTGTCGACCGTTTAGAGCAAATCACTCGAAACGAACAAGCTGGAAAGCTACATCTGGTCGGTGAACGTTGAGATAACGTTAACGGGACGATTCTCTCTGCCTCTGGCGGACTCGAAAATCCGTCGATAAACTGACGATGCCCCTGAATTCCATCGGGCCTGGGACACGCCGTTCAATTAAGAAAGACTCTTCGTTTCAATTTTATACCTTCCCTGCCGTGACCAAGAACCGAAAGAATTTTTCTATCGAAAGCAAACCTCGCCAGAGAAATAAAAGATAAGAATATTCATTAAAAAAAAAAAAAAACAAAGACAAGAACCTTACAAAGCCGAATCATGATGTAAGAATCTGAGAAATAACGTCGCGCGTCGATTATTATATACATTTTCTCAAGACTCTCGTACGGAGTCACCGAAATAATCTCGAAGACGTTCATTAACAAACAAAAGTCCTGTCTCGTTATGCATTTGCATTCGAAATTGAAAGAACGAATGAATCCCCGCGAAAGAACCCCACAAAGTGTGACGATTCACGGTGTATTGATCACATTCGAGGGGGAGGGTGGAGGGGAGGCTTATTTTGTGCTAATTGCCGAATAAAGTGAAACGCACCAACGTTGAAATGTGCCTCATTTCCATTTAATGGACGTGTTCGGGATCTCCCGACACGTCGAATCGCTTCAACGGTCTCTTACAATGTGTTAAAAGATTCCACACGTCAGTCTCTTCGTGCACTTCATCTTAATTAACGTTAACACTCGTTTCGCAGATAAGAACTCATTCTCCTGCTAAATGTCATCTTTGCACGCGCCTGTCATCACTCCGTGGCTATCGATAACTGACCACGTTTAATTCGCTGTGCGCATGTACTTGCTTTTACCGCGACGATCACGTTTCTTCGTACTTGTCTCATTGGTCACTTTTTCTCGCGTGTAATCGCTGTGTAATTTAAAGAACGAACGGTGAATTGGACAAAATTTCCTTTTTTTGTCGAAGAATCGAAGCTAAAGTTATATATTCTCGGACGTTTTCGATTAAAGTAACCTAGAGAAGTGCGTTGTGCAAAAAATATATAAGGGTGTAAACTCGAGAATAAAATAACGAGTCAATCGAGGATGAAAAATGCATTATATATTCTGGGACAGTTGTTTATATCGTATTCCCGATTAAAACAACTCAGCACACTTCTGACATTTTCCGAGAGATGCGTAGGATTCGTTTACGTACAGACGAGTCGATCTATTTTCTTTTTAGACTTAATTTTTTCGGAATTTACCTCTAAAGATCAACTATCATCGAACCGATTACTGTCCACGAGAAAATCCACACGACCGAGCTTTGGTTTAGCCGAGAAATTTGTTCGACTGCTAAGAAATTTGCCGGAATTGACAAAAATTAAATATTTATAGATTTTCGCGCATTGCAGCGTGAAAAGTTCGGCAAAGGACACCACGATGGCGATGATCGAACCACGAGTTCCGAGATCCAAACAAGTTCCAAGAGTGTCGAGACGCTGGTTGCCCGTCGAGGTGTAGGTGCAACACAATCAAAGCATTTAGAGCGACCTTCTGGCTGAGAAGTAGCAGAGGGTTCGAAGTTGGTGAGGGTAGCGGCTGCTTGAATGGCAGCGGGAGAGTCAGTTTGTCTAGAGACTGCACGCGGTGCGTTCGCTTCTTCTATCGTGTCTGGGAATTTCGTTCACCGCTTGTCAAGATCTGGCGTTTTTTCACGTGCGTGGAACCTGTCGATGACGATCACTCCGTGATTTTCGATTAATTCGGACTTGTACGTGCACGATGTTTGCGACGATGTAGTTCTGTTCGTTTAGGTTTGTGATACTCGAGGTGTATCGGTAACAAAAGGTAAGCGATTTTGTTGTCAAAACTGAGGAAACTCGGACAAGTGACCATTAATATTATTCGTCAGTTTTTTTTTTTTTTTGTCAAATTTCATTGTCAAGTTCAGAGTTCGAAAACAAGGGTGGCTCGTGTTGGAGTGTGTATTAATTTTTGACTCATTGAATGACGAATTACCTAAGAAGATAATTGTCATTGGTTTTGTTGGAACATATTTTTAATTTGTAATTTCTAATTTAAACGGTGCGATGAAAATTTTATTTAAATTAGAACAATTTGAAGTAATTTACATTTGATAATTTTGACGTTAAATCTGTCACTTAATGTTGCGGATCTCGAAGCAATTATTTTCTTTATTGAATGAAGAATAAAAATCAACGTGTAAACGATATTAAAACCGCGACTGTTTCTCAAACTTTCGCTCTTTCTGTCACGTTTTTGTTAAATATTTACCTTTCAAGATATGAATTTCTTTGAGTTAGGTCCGACGTGTACGTGCGTCTATCGAGTTTCGAAGAGATACAGCAGCTCGTGCAATGATGTCATATGAATATCCTCATCCGGTTTCCAAGACCTATCGGTACAAAAAAGTGAGTAAAATAAATAGAAAAGGAAGATCGCATCCCTATAATGCAGGGCAGCTTCTTACCTTATCGTCTATTAGGTCGAAAAATAAGAGAAGTTCAATGGTTTATCCATCCAGTTTTCAAATTTTTATTGTTTCGTTGGTATCTAACATACTTTCCTACGAGAGAATTTAAGTAACATTGATGTTTCATTTGTATCAGATAACGAAACCACTACTGGAAAGAAAACGACGTGCACGGATAAACAAATGTCTCGATGAGTTGAAGAATCTTATGATCGATGCACTAGAGGCACGTATCTATTTTTATTTTACTAGTGTATTTTGCGTTCACGAGTGAGATTTTGGCAAAAATTGTATTTCATTGTGACACAATTCTTTCAGAGTTTCTGCGGAAAATACTGAAATTTTAAAGATCCATACGTTCCTTACTCAAATTCAAATTTACATCGCGGCAATAAGTTTTCCACAAACTAATTACATCGTGATTCATAAAATTTACTTGAAAGCTACATAAAATTTACGTCAAAATTTCACTTGGTTCTTTATCGAATTGTCAATATTCCTCAAGAAGATTTATCGACAGGTATAACTTGTGATTTGTAAAAATTTCGAAATTAGCTATCGGAAATAAAAGATCTATAACCAACAAACTCGATACAGAGAAATGTACTAATCATCTAACATCTATTCTATACTAACATCCATCCAGTATTCGTATCAAAATCGAAAGAAAATTAAAATTCTACTATTATTGATAATTACCTCAAGAAGCAAAACTGCGACAAAAATATATAAAGTGTCCAATATTCAAACACAAAATAATTCATTTAGTGTTAAAGTTCGTAGCCTGGTTGAACACCAGCTTCCGGAAGATGAAATTCCACTATATTTGACAAGGAATAACTTTATATATAATAGCTGGCGTCCTTCGACATCATTCACTCCACACTCCGCTTTCGCATCGAACGATCTAAATATGTTATCTCTGAACGAGATTGGCGCGCAACAACGTAAATGTCACTAGACCTCTATTCGATCGGCGTTGAACGCGATATATTGGTCGAACGAGCACGTGCTATGCTCCGTCACGGAGCCGATCCGGAACGGGAGAGAAACCTTTGGAAGGAAGCCACGGTTTCTTGCTCGACTTAACTCTCGCGCGCGCGATACCACCACGTTTCCCCCCCTCTGTAATTTCACGAGTCGCTCGCAGCAGGAAATGCATTCTCAAGCCGCAACTACGCGTGCAATCGATTTGGTGCTTAAATATTCCTAGACCGTGGGAACACCGCTCGCTGCACGTTTCAAGCCGGTGTCAAGCGAACACGCGACTTTGCCCGTAATTACGAAACCAGTAGTTAACGGCTTCGGCCGTGTTTACGTTTAATACACGCGGCGTAATCGCTATATCTTCTCGAAGATAGGGGAATCACGAGAGAGGGAGGGGGCTGACGTTGTCTGATAAAGAATCCTAGGTGCCTCTTTCTGGATAATCGCCGTGCGAAACGATTAATCACCTCGTTTCTTTTTTTTTTTTTTTCCCCCTTCGTTTCTCCGTTTTCCTTTCCAACTTCGATCGTAATAGCAAGCGGCGGGTGGCGTTTCGCCGTGAAATTTTATGAGAATCTAATTTCACGAGAACTTCGTTAAGCTGTTGTTTCTCCTTTTGCAATCAGAGCGTGAAGTTTCGTGGAAATCTTTTTTTTTTCTTCTTCCTTTTTTTTATGGATGCGTGATGGAATCTGGGGTTTTTGAATTTTTGGTTTATTTTATTCCACGGGAAAGACATATACTATGTGTACTAACTACTGTATACAAGTTTGTCAATATTGTCTCACTTCTGCAATAGTAAATAATCTGTGCAAACAATAAGATTCCCAAAAACTGATCATTATTTAGATCTTAAAAAAGAAATTATACCGCTAAAACGCTCGAGTATTATTAGTATCTCTAAACCTCTGTCCCGGTATTAATTTTCTAAAAAGAAGTACTTTTTTTTTATCGCTGTGCTGCTGTTTAAAATCGCACAAAATTATTTTGCCCCACGCTCTCACGTATCGATCATTCAAATCGATTTCCTATCAAAACTCATCTCTTCCGAAAGCGATCTGTCTCTCCCGAATGAAAAATATCTGCAAATTTAATATCCTTATCATGCTGCATTCGTGGCGATATTCTCTCTCTGAGAACTCAGTGCAAACATTTGAATCGCGTCGGCGAATTTACACAAATATGAATTTACACAGACGTTTTACAAAGTGGTAATACCGGTGCAGCAACTTCAATTCAAATCCTCTACGAATGTATAAACAGCAACTTTTTGCGATCATGCTGAAAGTGTTATCAGAATCACACGAAGACACGACATTTTTCAATCTTGCAGACTTGATTACATTTTTATCATGGATTTTACGCCGATTCGAACAGAGCCGTTCACAAATTGGCAAATATTCGTGATCACGCAAACGATTTAAAGATTCAACGAACGCTAATTGCAGATAGGTAGACAGATACTGGATTTAGCTTCCACGCGACTGTTCGAATTTAGCATAATCTAACAATTATTTTAACATTATCTCCAATTATTTTTAAACGATATGTGTTGATCGTGAAACGTTGCTTTAGATCGACTAAATTCCAAGAAATATTTAATTATTTTCTAAATTTTCTTAATTATTAATAATACTCCCGACGAAAATCTAGAATTTCTAGAAAATAATTAAGAATAATTATTTTCTAGAAATTCTAGATTTTCGTCGGAATAAACTTTGAGGAAATAGTAAACAAATTTTAGCGTTTCCTTTCACCTTGGATTTATGGACTATAAAGGATCTCATAAATCACAGATATATTTTACTTTATATATTGATAATAAAGAGTAATTGAACGATAGTAAATGTTTTGAGAAATATAAAATAATGCAGAAATTGGAGTGAATAAAAATCGGCAATGCACAAACGCTTAACGCTCTGTAACACTCAAGGATTAAATGTTACAGAGTAGAAATAAAAAATTACGATTTAAAATCCATCAAGAACCAAACAATAGTTTGTTATAATACTATAGACCACAAACATCGTGAATGATTTCAAATTTAGCGGCAGTATAGTTCTCACCATAGTCTTCTGCCATCTGTGTAAGCATCTAGTAACTTTATCGTGGATTCCTATCCTTGTTACCACTGTACGATATTCTTTAAAGAAACGTTTTTTGGAAAATATTTTCTAAAATTGTTTCACACAAATATCTTTGTTTTGTAATTTGTGTTAATTTCCATAAAATTTATAGAATTTTATATTAAATTTATTTTAATATATATATATCAATATTCATAAATAATTATATATAATTTATTAATTTAATTAATAATTCAACCATGATTATATTATTTATATTATTAACATTATTAATTCATTTAAAATTAATTTAATTTTAAATTAAGTAAATATATTATATATATATATATATATATATATATATATATATATATATATATATAAATTTATTAATTTAAATATATTAACAATAAATTGTTGAAATATAATTATATTTATATATATATATATATATAATTTAATAAATTTATAAATAATTTCTTGAAATATTTAACGTGACCAAAGATCTGATTTATTTCTAACACGTGGACACGTTAGAAACTCTTTCCCAGAAATTTTTAATTAGCACGAGTCAGTTGCATTTCAATCTCTGTCGATCACCCCGAAATCCAATTTATTATAGATGCTCGCTAGATTATTTAAAAATGACATTGTCAGAACAATCAGACTCCTCGACTCTTCGTTCCACAAGATCACGAAGCGTGAATTCTCCACGCTTCGACGCCTATGTGCGCCTTTGAAATTCAAATTCGTCTCGGTTCTTGTGTCGGTACGATCACGTAAACAAATACACGGTCGCTTCTTTTTTTCTTCCTTTTTTTTTTATATATTCGATCGTGAGATAGCTGCTCATTTAGATAATGGATTGTATCTTCGATCAGCGACTCCTTCGAGCGGCAAAAGTCTGGGAAAAACGCTGTGGAACCACAGTAAACGATAAAGAGCGACGTAACAAAACGATGAAACTCGAGTTTCTAAAGCGTGTCGAATAAGAACTCGGAGCAAAAAAAGAAAAAAAAAAAAATTGGTTGAATCGTTGTGTAAACAGTGGCTCACGAAAAATTTTACCATTTCATTTTTCTGATTTACATTTTTCTTACTACTCCATTTTTTGCCAATCTTATTTCAGATTCAGGCTCGAAATTTTCAACAAAAATGTTTCCCACATTTTCATTTACGTTTAATATACATAATATACTCATAAATGTTCGAAAACTTTCACGAGCAGCTGTACAATTTCTTTCTCTTTTTTCCTTTTTTCTATATATTGAGAAATTTACCGAAAATTTATTTTAGTATATTCCAAATGATTTTTGAATCTATAATTATTCGACAGTTATTCAATAATTCGATGATACAAGAATCTAATATGTATGTATGTGTGCGTCGTGGCCAACCTTGTCGAATGTAAACATTATTTCTGAATCGTTGTAAACAACTCGGTACTGTAATCGAACGTTTCAGTTGTCTTCTGTTTAACGGTATCAGTTTTTATTTATTTATTTATTTATTTTTCTTTAAGTAACATTTTCCATACGATGACGCTTCGAACGTCGAATAAAAGAATTCATCACGGTACAAACAGGTGTATCGGATCGTAATAAATGAGAAAGCAAAAATTGCTGCTTCGATTTTCATTCACGGTGCAATTCATCAATTCATAAATCTAAAGTAAAATCGTCCGTGCTTCTTGTATAATTATATTTTATGATTTTACGACCAGAAGTCCCACGGAGTTCCGTATTAATTTTGAAATATTTATCACCTTGATTTCAAATCTTATTCAATATACTGTCGCTCAATTATTTTCGTGAAGCAATTTATATTGCATTCAGAGTACTATAATAACTAAATACTAATAAATGATTTTGATCCCGAGTGTAAATTAATGTATTCTATTTATTACATTTGAACTATAGATGCGCGACTCTAAATCAACAAATTTATGACCAAGAAGAATATTCATATTCTAAAGTCATTTGAAACTGAAAGGTTATTTCAACGAATGTTTATCTTATTCAAACGAAATTGTATGGAAGAAATATATAACTGTTTAACTGACAACTTGTTCCAAATATTATCAACCGATAAATTAATGCTTAAACAAAATTTCCCTCCAATACATATAAATTTACTGTAATTTTAGATATTCCTATTACTGTATTTAACAAAAGTTAAATATTTAACAATTGTAAGAAAAAGGAAATGGCACAGAACGTTTGACTCTCAACTTTGTTGATCATATCAATCGCTGAATTATTATATAGACACAGGATTTTCATGCATCATCTAGCTCTCAATTCTTTAAATCATAGAGATACGAATATAATTCTCTAACAAAAAGAATTATTACTTTGCAAAGCAAGCTCTCAACTACCCGGAGGGAAACCTCAGAGCTCGTTTAATAGATTAATTAGAACTTCGTCTTTCCTCGCCATCAGCATCACTTCTCCTCCTCCTCCACTTTTAATATCGAAGCCGACCGTTGTCGACCGTCGTCGACCTCAACTCCTCTCGAACGGAAACGAAAAGGATTTATTGATTGCAGACAGAGGGGGAGGACATCAGCAAACTGGAGAAAGCGGATATTCTGGAGCTGACAGTGCGCCATTTGCAAAGGCTACAGGGCTCGCGGTCTTCTGGTTTGTCGGGCACGATTACGAAAAACGAGGAGGCATCGGCCGAAAGTCGGTGGCTGTCCGGTTTCGGGCATTGCGCAGCTGAAGCATACAGATTTCTCTCGGCGGTTCCAGGTGAAGGCGCGGAAAGGTTAGCCAGGCACCTCGCAGCTGGCCTTCAAAAGAGCCGGCGAACGAATTCGACGGTAATTATCTCATCATCGACGATCGAAAGACAATAAGGGGAAAGTCTCCGCCGCGATTCACCGAGAGTAGTTCTCTCGCCGAGTACTCTTCTCACACCGAGATTGACACTGGCCGCCCCGTGTCCTCTTTTCCTGCTTTTTTACGCGTGTCCATGCGGGTTACTTTGCCCGCGGTCGCACGAAATTGCAAGAATCCGGCCATCGTTGCAATTTATCGTTCTATGTAATTTTCTTGCGACGATGTCAACTTTATATCCGAAAAAAACGGATATAACGGTAACATGTTTACTTCGCCTCGTTTTTTTTTTTTTTTTTTCAAATTTCGTCGACGCATTCCACTTTTCTGTCATTTCATTCATTTCGATCGAGTATCACTCACACAGCGCGTATTGATATTTTCTCAAAAGAACGATGGAAGTGAGTATAACTTGAAAATGAGTAATTGTTCACAGATGTAAAAAACCGGAGAGCAATATCAGAAATTCGAGTGAATTTCCATAAAATATACGAGTATTTATTACACGTAATCGATATCGATATCTGATTATTCATTTATTGTTTTATCAAAGAACGTGATATCTGACCTTCAAATAGAAGAAATTTATTTCTAGCAAAAGCCGAGAGCGACATCAATTTTATTTACTTATTATACTTCGAGCATATCTTTTTATAACTGTGTAATCGGCTGAACATTCCCCAATATTTCAAGTTACTTATATACTTCTTTGTCTATCTTGCATCGAACTGACTTTACTCCATTTAGTTCCATTTTTTTTTTTTTTTCTTTTTTTTACAGCTGAAAACGAACGTGTTGACTCAAACTTTGGCAAGTTTGGACCTCACTGCTGATATACTTGCGTCTTCGACGGCGAAATCCGCGACAGAGAATGCTCAAGTAACGTCTTCCAAACAAAATGCAGTGACTTATCGTGGAATAACGCGCGAGACAACCGCGTTTGCCAATCCCCCTAAAAGCAATTCCACGTTAACATCGACCGTCGAAGATAACGAAAAGTTAGACACGAGATACGCTAATGACACGGAGGAGGAGGTCAAGGTGGAACAGGTGGCGAAGAAGGTGAAAATAGAGGTTAAAGTTGAAGACGACGAAGAGATCGATGTGGAACGCGTTGACGAAGCTGATCCTATGTGGCGGCCCTGGTAGTTTGAAACTAGATGAGAACTGGATCGTACGAGAAACGATCATTATTTAATTCATATCACGGTCACGTAAAGTTCCAAGAGACTAGCATTCCAAGTGCCCTTATCGCGTGTTATAGCTTTAAAGGATATTGTATCGAGCGTCTGTTAAGTTTATGTTTCTACTATTACAGCTTTACTTAACCAATAGTTTACTCTACGTTATTTAGAAATTGAAAGTTTCTTTTTTTTTTCTTCTTAATATTAAAAATTCTGAAGCAAATACATTTCATTTTCATAATTGAATTACCGACCGACACGGTTATACCTACACTATTGTGAATTTTACGCAGAATTTTCACCGATAAATATTCAATAAAAGACGTGTATATATTTTTCAATTACTTAATGTTTAAGAATCTACACAAAGAGTAAACTATTCTTACATTGTAATTAAACTGTGGATTTTTACGCAAATATTTTTGTAAACTTAGTAAAATCGAAGTGAGATTGATGCTCACTCTCTTGCAAAAAAAATCTGCAAATTAGTTACAATGTAATCTGAAAGAATAATTTAGCTTTACATTAAGTGGAATATTAACTATCCCTGTATTAACTGTTCTTCAATTGTTTTTCATTACGACTTTCCGTTTGTACTCTTCTTACATGTTGTTGATAATATAATTCGTCCGTTTGTGTACTCTTCTTAGATGTTGTTGATAATATAATTCGTCCGTTTCCTTTACGTTTCATTTAAAACAAAGACAAGAGATGTCAATATTCTTTGCTTCGAATTCCTTTGTATAATAATTCAATTATGGTTGCCTTGCAATTAATTAACTTTCAAACGCGCGTAATACGTTTCAAAATTTCTTCTTATACAAAAAATTATCTTACACATTGAATATACGATTCACACAAATCAAATGTCTTCCAAAACTTTTTCTTCGCATTACATACTCGATTTAGAAATTTAGGTAACTATTCACTGCTTGTATTCGTGGATTTTTTACTATTTTCTATTAGTATATAAATTAATTTTATACTTGCGTAATTTATTTCTATTGCTAATATATATTATGAATTAATTTTATCATATTTATGTGGAACGTGATACCGTCACAAGTAACCGATCTCACTATTTAGAATACGATTTTCAACGCGTATGATGATTTATAAACGAATGGTAATAGGAAAAAATTTATTTTACTCGAGGAAAAATTTCACACTATTCCTGTAAAAATATTTGCAAGCGTTACCATCTTTACTAATTCGTAAATGGTAAAATTTTCTAACTTCTGTTTTTAAAAAAAAAATTTCTGCCGAAAAATATAAAACACGCGTATTACATGTGACGAACAACATACGCACATTTTATAATGACTTTTTAATGCTTAACGTTAAGAGATACGTAGATTCTTAAGAAATATTGCGACTATTACAAATAGCATCTTTATATTTAAGAAACAATTAATATATTTACGTTTCCGTTTGCAGATATTTTAATGTTATACCGATTATATTACGTACTATGAAATACCCTTGTCTTTCAACTGCGATCGATAAATATTTTAAGACAACATTAAATTTGACAAGGATATTTTATCACGGCTAATATGAAACTATGAAACTAATTTTAATGTACAATTGTGATAAACATTTTGGTACTTGGCTTTAATGTAATTAATATACGATAGGTCAGATATTCCGACTCTTAGGTAATATATTATAACAATGTATTATTAAATAACAATAAAATTTCCACGCGAAAAATGGTCTTCCCTATATGAAACAATGGCAATAAAGTGAAACAAAAATACCTATTACGCCTTTCACGTTATTTCTTTCCAATTATAGTCTGAGCAACTATTTGACGTAACAAAATAAATATTGCACCAATAAATTTCCAATGCCTGCCAATTTCTTACAACTCAGAATTTAAATCAAATTATTACTAGTATCAAATTATCAATACACTATCTTATTTTTTTCGCAGTTTGTTTTCTATCACGAACCAAAACCAAAAACAGATATTTTTAGTCTAGCTATCGACAACTAGTATAGATAATCGCGATCCATTTCCTTCGAAAACAGGAAGAATAGAACGCGCGGTC